TAGAAAGCCATTAGAGGACAGGCATAGTTAACCTCAGAAAACTCTGTGACATTGGCTAGTGTGCTTTGTGGAGGGAGTCAGGTAAGCAAGGGGTTTGGAGAACATGTTTAGGTTCAGGAACATTCTCTGCTTAAATGGGCTTATTCTTACCCTCTGCTTCAATCCCCATTTTGCCCACAGGTTAGATCTTGGGACAGCCACATACCTAGCCATACTTAGGCTTTCCAATTGCACTAGACCAGGGTGGAAAAATAAGGAAAGGAAACACATCTGCAGCATTTTACTGCTTTTTTTTTTTTTTTAAATCAACTTCACCCACTTTTGGAGTGTGGAGTGATGGCTATCACTGTACAAACAGACTGGGTTGAGTTAGAGTTGGAGAAAGAGGCTGAGAATGTCACTTTAGGGGTGCTCCTCCATGTGGAGACACAGGAGTGAGGAGTCAGTGATTTCTCCAAACTGCTTCAATCAAATCCGTCTATTGTCTGAATTTCTTGGGGATCTGATCTTAGTCTTGTGACTTCTGACTTCATACATGGTGATTGTTTCCTCATTTGTTTTGAAATTGTGAATTAATACTTTTTCTTAAGTGGTGTAATTTCTGTGGAAATTTTGATGGGCCTGTTTGAGGATATGTTATTCCAAAGACATTCTGCCTTTGCTTTTGCCAGGTGTACAGAGGACATTATGGCCTGAGACTTCTTTCTTTGCTTACAGTTTATTGTGAATAGTTATTCTTTCATAAGTTATCCTTAAGGTATTTCATACAATACAAAGTTTAATTTAACCACGCTACTTTTTTTTAGTAGGACAAAAGGCATTAAATTAGTTTTAAAGTAAATTATGCTGTGAATAATAAAAATGCTAATAGGAAATATATTCTATTCAAAAAAATCTTGTCTTCCTTTGCTTCTCTGGATGCACCTGTGGCCCACTGTAGCATGTATATCTGATTATAATTCTCTACTATTCCCAAATAAACTCTGTTCTGTAAAGCCAGTCTTGCTTCTGTTTATTTTACGTTAACACCAGCTGGGGTGGGCATTAAACTCCTTTATGATAGAGGTCTGCAACTTATCCCAAGTCTGACACAGCATCAGCTCAAATGCTTTCTTCTTGGATTTTTAATAGTCTTTGTTTTGGCCTCTGGGAATTTCCCTTACTTTCTTAAGAGCTATGTCAAGGGTCATTTGCTTTATTTTATAAAACATAAGTATATAATATTTATACTTTATAAATATACTTTTAATACTCATCATTCATAAGTATAATAATTTTGTAAGTATTTAAATAAGTAGTGGAAGATGTTTCAAGTTCTCTAGTCTGCTACTGTTAGGTCTTCAGATATCCTAATTCTTCTTCCTTTTCACTTGACTAAACTAGATGTCATATCTTTAAGGAAGCTGTGAGGCTCAAGCTTGAATTAAATACCCTCTGCTCTTTACCCTCAGTGCATAGATCTAATGGCTTGTTTGCCCTCATGTGTTTCCTCCACTGAATTGCAAACTCTTTGAGCCCATGCCTATTTAGTGTACCCCAGCATGACACTTAGTAGAGAACCAACTATTTGTGAATGAATGGATGTCTTCTCTTGACTTGTTTGCTTATTATTTTTAAAAATCCTGCCCCTTGGCTTGAAGTTGTTTGTCTCCTTCACAGATTTTTGACCTTTAGCCTTTATGAATTTTCGTTGGTGCCTAGCAATAAAAGCTCCCACTGGGAGTAACTTCATACTGGTTATTAATTTATTAATGAAAGCCTGGCAACTAACTTGTTTTTCACAGTAGAATCAGAAATTCTTTTTCTAAAGACTTTTTTTTATTGTTTAGTCTGTTTTTTCATATTACATTTCAGCTCATTCAAGTGAGGATTCTTTTAAAAATGCTATATTGATTTTTCTATTGCCCTTCACTAAAATTATCTTCATTATAAAAAAACTCAATTTTATGTCAAGTAAGAAGCAATGGAAATCTATTCTTTTCTTTACTCCATAGGGATTTGTTGAGTACCTTAAAAGTATAAGAAAGAATGCAGAGAGATGCTGGTAGGAAGGCTGTGTGATTCAGGTGGAGCATGGGAGAACTGAGTGTTTCTAGAGGATGGAGCCAGAGTAGAAAAAGAGCAGCAGAGATTCCAAAAAACAAAGTTACTAATGATGGGCACGGTATTCTCTTCATCTTCCACGGAGTGTTACTGATTCTTTTCTGTAGCTTTTATTTTTAATTGACACCTAATAATTGTACATATTTATGAGGTGCAATGTGATATTTCCTGACATGTATATATTGCATAATGATCAAATCAGGGTAATGATCCAATCCATCATCTCAAACATTTATCATTTCTTCACGGTGAGAACATTCAAAATCCTCTGCTCTAGTTATTTTGAAATATAAAGTGGAATATTGTTAACTATAGTCACCTTACTATGCCATAGAACACCAGAACTTATTCTTCCCATGTATCTGTAATTTGGTATCTGTGGACCAATCTCTTCCCATCCCTGACCGCAAACCCCAGCCTCTGGTAATCATCTACACTGTACTTCTATGAGATCAGTTTTTAAAAACTCCAAAAATTAAGGAGATATTATATGGTTTTTACATTTTTGTGCCTGGGTTATTTCACTCAATATAATGTCCTCAGGTTCATTTATGTTGCCACAAATGACAGGATGTCACTCTTCTGAATGGCTGAATAGTATTCCATTGTGTATATACACCACATTTTCTTATTCATTCATCCTTTGATGGGCAATTAGGTTGATTCCATATCTTAGCTATTGTGAATAGCTGCAATAAACATGGGAATGCAGGTATCTCTCTGACATTATTTCATTTCTTTTGGATAAATACCTAGTAGTGGGATCGCTGGATCTACTTACTTGTTCTTTAGTTAAAATTACTTAAGTTTTTAGAGGTAAATGTCTCACTCTTACGCTGGAGTGCAGTGGCTGGATCATAGCTCACTGTAACCTGGAACCCCTGGGATCAAGCAGTCCTTCTTCCTCAGCTTCCTGAGTAGTTAGGACTAAAGGCGTGAGCCACCGTAACCAGCCAACTTACTTATTCTCATAGGCTCGGTAGAGCAATTTTAGTAGCTGTTTTTATAGACTTTTCTGGAGAGAAAGAGAAAGAAAGAGAGCAGTTATAGCTGAGGTGGAGTTGTTGTTGACCACATTTCATGGGAGATCAGTGAAATCTGAAAGAATTCTTGACTTTCAGAGCTGGCTGGTAAAGGGGGAAGTTTGCTTCTTACAGTTATATGCTGATAGGTGTTATATAAAGCCTAAAAACACTCCTATTGGGTAAGGCAAAAATGATATGAAGTGAAAATATGAGAAACAGTTCTGAAAGTAATTAAGATAGGTAAGTTACAAACTGTAATGAGGGTTGGTATGGTGGCCCACACCTGTAATCCCAGCACTTTGGGAGGTGCTGAGGTGGGTGGACGGCTTGAGCTCAGGAGTTCGAGACACCATCTCTATAAAAAATACAAAAATTAGCCGAGTATGGTGGCATGGGTCTGTGATTCCAGCTACTTGGGAGAATAAGGTGGGAAGACTGCTTGAGCCCAGGAGGCATAGGTTGTAGTGAGCCAAGATAGTGTGACTGCACTCCAGACTGGGCAACAGAGTGAGATCCTGTCTCAAAATAAAACAAAAAACCCTGTTACGATAGTTCATGTTCAGTTTTTTTTTGTTGTTGTTCTCTTTAGCCATGCAAGCCTGTCCCTCAGATTCCAGTTTAGGAAGAGGAATCCTAAAATTGGGATTGCCTTTAGATAACTGAAAGAATCAACTTAGTTCCTGTGGCTACTGCCTAAAATCCCTTTTGTCCATCATAAACACACCTTTGCCCAGGTGTGTGCACTTGCACACAAACACACACACTTAAAAAGGGGAAAGAAAGAGAAATCACATATGCTATTTAGTCAGATTTCTTTTAAGACAATTATGATTTTGATTCTGTTTGTAACTTGTGGGTTTTTATTTTGAACAAATGGTTTGTGAACTGGAAACGTTTTTCTGAGCTACAAGCTGAATATAGTTTAAAACTGTGAAGAATATTTTCTTCAAGTTCAAAGTATTTCTTTTAATTTAATGTTATGTGCCTTAAAAATAGATAATCATAGCATGACAGTTCCACATATCAAATGTAAGAATCCTTGTTTGCTGAGGCTACAGAGCTAACAGCAATAAAACAGGTTCAAGAGCTGCCAAATGTGTCCCTTTTCCACAGAAAGGGTTGATGTCTGCTGAAATGGAATATTAAGTATCAGAGACTTCACATAACTTTGGAGAAAAACTTGAGGACATGATCACTGCAAAAAAGTAATAATCAAGTCTTTAAAAAAATTCCCCCCTACCTTTTATTTTACCTTAAATTCTCTATTGATTTTTTCCATTTATTTTTCTGTAGCCATTAAAAATTTTTAAAAACAGTTTTAATAGTTCTTTATGGGCAGGAAGGAAGATTACTTCTTTAAATATAACTGAAACTCTGGCACGCTCTAGTGGCCAAAGAATCTAAAATATTGTTCTACATGAGCTTATAGTTAGTTTACTTCTTCCTTTAGCTTTATGAATTAGACATAACCTAGATATTCTGCCCCCCATGAAGAAGGCTTGTCTAGTGGCAAAATAATAAAAACAGATATTCTGAATTTACTCATACTTCCACACCTCTAGACTAGAAGCATAAGATTCTGTGAAGGCATTTCCTTAGCTATTACCAGATAACTAAATTAAGAAATGTTAACTGCAAAAAATGCAGACAATCCAAACCTGCTGGGTGAGGAAGAATATTATAGAGAAGAGTCTAGGCTAAGGAAAGGATTATATTAAACCATATTTTTCTTCAGCTAATAGGATCACAGTTTAGCTTAATTAAAATCTCTCAAACTATTGGGTCCATTCTCCCTGCAAAAATCCAAACTCCCCTACTAATTCCCCACCCTTAAAATTCAGAGTCCCCTAATAATCACACAGTATTCATACCTACTTGTTCATTCTTTTTATTTTTACAAAGCATGGCAGAATGAGAAAACCACTGACAAGTGAAGAGTTTGTACAATGGAAGACCACCTCGACCATCTCATAACTTTATACAGGAATCAGGTGGGTAAGTGTTCCTTTAAAGTGATTTTGTCATAGAAGACTCTCATGATGGAGGAAAGGAAAGAAATGAAATCAACATTCATGATTATTTAAAATGACTTAACAGCTAAGCATAATATACATAGTAAGTCCTTTCCCTAGTATAAAAATAGTGCCAGAAACTATATTTGTTCAAATATATTGAAAAGGTATAAGAATACAAATAGTTATTAACAGTGGCTAGTGATGCCTCATAAAGTTTTCTTTTCCTAAACTGTAATAGAAATTTATATTTTCAACTATTTACATTGCTTTCAACAACATTCATTAAGACATGTTTTCACAGGTAAGTATATGGAATGGCAAAGTGAACTTTAATACTTTCTTCTTCCCTGTCTGTAGTAGAGCAGAAGGGGTCCAAAACTGTGCACAATTTAACAGTCCAGAAGAACTGTGTAACCTTTACCTTGCTAGCACATGGAAAAAATAAACTATATACAAGAATACAAAACTCTTTAAAGTGTTCTTCAACTATCAACATGTTAAGTGATCCATACTTGCAAGATAGGATGTTTGTTCACCGGTAGATTCTTACTAAGTTTCAGGTAAAGAAGGTACATAAAACATACGTTATTGATGAAAATTGAAGTGATGCAGTACACCCCATGTTCTCAGATTAAATTGGCAGTATCAGAAGCTGATAAGTCTCTTCTCCAGCACCTCATTCAGGGACCATGAGCTCCTTAAGGTCACTGCTCTGTCCACAGCTGAGCACAGTACCTAACATGTGGCAGGGACTCAATAAAAGGTGGGTCAGTGCATGACAATTATATGACACAAAACAATTATATCATGCTACCTTATTTTGACTATAATTGTTCATTAGAGAGGATAATGATGACATTTTTATTATCTGGTTTTAAATCTATCTTGTAAACAAAAGACAATTGGCTTGTGATGGCCCGTTAAGTTTTAGGAGTACAATCTGGTGAAAAGCACAGAAAAAAATTGTAAATCAAATTGGAAGAGGTCTAATATTTGTGTTGCTGTGCTGAAAATAATGGCACTTCACTGCAAGCAAGAATATGTCTGTGACTAAATAGTTTTCTCCAAGAATCCAATATTTCCAGTATATTTTTGTATACTTTCTTGTCTATATTACTCCTATTAAAGGAAATTATTCTTCATAATTTAGAGACAATGGTGACAATGTCATCATCCTGGGTTTGTACCTTGAAGCAATGTACTCAAAGAGTTCTAAATCTCACATTTGCTAGTGATCTGCAAGTGAAGCTGAATAAATATATAGTCTTTGTTCAGTCTTGGAAACTCAACATTAGAAACGACATGTGGGGATAGATCACCTTCTCTCTAGACTAATACCCCATTTCTGACAGTGGTCTCCATGGCCCATGGGGGCTTATAAAGTAGCTGCCTTCTGTGACATCCTGCTTGAAGATAAAGACTTTGCCAAACATAACTCCTTTTTAAAAAGCACAACTTGTTTAGGCACACAGAGGTTAAGTGACTTACACAAATCCACCCAGGATTGTGATTGGCACAGTCCAATCTACTGAAGAATATAAGGCTAGGCAATCATATAGCTATCTTTTAACAAATTAGTAAAATAGTGGCAACATTCTGGTTAAAAATTGAAATTAAATAGTATCATGTTACTCTGTTATAATGAAACAAACAAAAAAACTAGAACAAGAACTTCTTGCTAGTTATGGGTAATGTAATTACAGAGTAGGGTGAAGGAGGACTATATGTATACTTTTCCAACTTGAGAGAATACTGGAAGGGAAATTAAAAATTATTTGAACCAATTAACCAGCCCTAAAGACGTACTCTTCTGTATGAACGAAAATATCCAAAAATAAAATAAAATAGGCATTGCCCTATTTCTTTTAATGTCTAAACTAGTAAAATAGACATTATTCAAAGGCAGACCAAACCATTTCTAATCTAAATATATCTTCTTGCTTATTAAAATGACACACAAATAAACATTCTAAACAATCTACTATGTCTTTAAAAAAATTCTCAGTGACACATACTAGAGGGGACTAAACAAACTACAAAAGTGTAAGTACATATTTTAGCATTACTACTAAATCACAATGTAATAAAAAGGCTTATTAAAGATTGCTATTCTTTATGCAATATTTCTATACTAAGGATTTATGTGTGCATGCATAAGTATACACCTGTATGTATATATAACTATTATTTTAGTGATAATCTGTGTATTTTACACACCAGTGCCACTAAGGGGCAACCTTAAACATTTTGTTTGTATGGCAAAAAGTAAAATAAAATATCCTGAAAATACCAGTATACAACAATATATATAGCATTAAACAGTTGGTAACTTCCTAGATTAGATTAGTCTTTACCAAATACACAATAATGGCAATACAATGTGTTTTGCTTCTTTTTTTTTTATCAGAGTGATAAAAATAAAGTCACATTATGTTGATACACACACACACACACACACTTAAAATTTAAAAAAAGGAACGCATTAAATTTTAGGCAAAATTTAGGGGAATAGGGACAAAGATGGGAAACACATTTTGGTGAAAGGTCCTTGAGAATGCTGCATTACCATATACCTAAGAAATTTTCTATCCAAATTAGTGATAGAAACTCAGATCAAATATCTTTTTTGTGGGTTGGAGGCAGAAGTTAACAAATCTCTCCTTCTACTCTCCCCAAATCCAAACATTCCTGAATATTTGAAACAAATTTTCCTTTCCTAGACCAGTTGCTTATCTACTTCTCCAACATTGAATAAATGTATATTTAGGGGCACACATGTAGAATATTAATCCAGTTAAATGGGCTCAAATTCTAAGAAAATGTTAACTATACTAAATGTTATGGGAAGGAAATACCACTGAATACGAGTTAAGAGCCAGTGTTTAGCATTCACATCCAACCTTCTCTGGATCAGGGTTGACTTGTCCTATACATCAAAATATGACAGTTTTTCAATCACAATACTGCTAAATGTTATTCAGGCATAACGTTTCTTACCCACTGTTCCCTCAAATTCATTTTCTACTCTAGTATTGGCAATAGCCCTTTGCTATTTATATAATTAAAATTTTTCTTTAAATTTCAATTGACAAAAGAAAAAAGATTCATTTTGTACTCTCTTATCTATAGTCATGTCTCACTTAGATCAATGTTCCAACTGTCACTTTTGTTTTAAAAAGGAAACTCAGAAGGAAAAAAAACTCTTAGCGATATCCTCTAACAGGACATTTTTCTTCACTGATAGACATATGAACATTCCATTTCTAGAGCACACTTATCCCTCAATAAAGTTAGTCACTGGATCATCTCCTAAGGTTTTACCGGCTTTGCTTCAGGTAGGTGAGATGGAAGTGATTGTATGGGTAGCCTTTAGAAAAATGTACTGCACTGAAATGACAAAGTTCTCTCTTGCCTGTTCTCTCACAAAACAGCAAATCAATTAAATAATATAATTTCTTTACAATACAGTTTCATTGTACTTCCCATTGTTTCAGAATACATGAACTTTTTACAAAAGACATTGTTGACAAATACAATTATTTCTCCTTAAAATCTACTCAGCCAGCATTTTTCACTATCCTATAAAGGCTTTAAATGTCACAGAATGTATGATAATTTGCTCCTAACCTTCTTTTGAAAAAGGAAAGATTCCAAACATTCTTGAAAAACTGGTAATTCAGAAAACACAAAAACCAATTATTTTAAAACCCCAGGCAAAAAAACCTCAGTGCAAGAATACCGCTTACACTTTGCAGTACATGAAATACCACAAACAATGCTTTTATCAAGGTACTAAGAGTGGATGTTGTTGATCATTTTAGTTCAGTGGCATAAAACAAATATACAAAAAATATGTAATATTCCGCTAAAAACATTTCATGCTATATTCTCAAAAGTTGTGCAAAAACAAAAACACAGCAGTGGCAAAGTATATAGCAAATACAGACAATATACAGACAGTGTGTAAAGAACCTAGGCATATTGCAGAACACACCATCTCTGTAAACTTCAACTCTGCATGAAATGGTCCACTCAGTTCCGCTTGGCCTGGCCGCTTTCCCCATTAATCAGCATCTTCTCCTGCTGTTCTGCAAGGGCCTGCCATTTCTGCCTGTTCTTCCTGCAGCCATCTAGCAAAGGGAAACAGTCCTCTGACACATGGGTCAGGGCCTAAAGAAAAAAAGAAAGCAAACAACTAGAGAGAAGCCAGGAAATAAGCCCTCTCTCACAGCCTGTTATAAAGGGCCACATCCCACACTCATTTCATGAGCAGACTCACTGCTGAAATCTTCACAAGCTGGGTGCGCACATAGATCATTTACACATGATTCTTCTAAAACACTACAGATACGTAGTAGTTTGCTGAGAGAGCATATACACACATTCCAAAATAACATTATTGTGCTAGGTAGACAGATCTGTATGGAATCCACTTTTAGGGGAAAAAAGACATTTTGTTTCTTTTTTTTTTTTTTTTTTAATTTTTTATTGGATTTTAGGTTTTGGGGTACTTGAGCAGAGCATGCAAGACAGTTGCGTAGGTACACACATGGCAGTGTGCTTTGCTTTCCTTCTCCCCGTCATCCACATTTGGCATTTTGTTTCTATGTAGTATAGTTGGGTCTCCCTAAGTGTGACTGCATTGGGAGCTACTTAGTTTTTGTGTTTTTCTGGGCAATGGTCTCATATAATATACTTAAATAGGCTTTTATCCAAGATTATATTATAATAAAGATTAATTCATAATTCGGTATGGCATTATCATGTACCAATTATAGTGTCATAAACATGTAGACACAAGAATGTTCATTGCAGATTTCTTCCTAATAGTGATACACTGACAATGACAAATACACAACAGTAGGTTGTCACTGGAAAACACCCCAAGAGAATTTAAAAAAAAAGAGAAACCTCACAGGAACATATTTGATACATAAAATATGGATATAATAGCATTATGGATTTCAAAAGGCAATTATTGAATTATTGTTAAATGAAAAGTATATGAAAATGTCATAAAGCATATGCATATACATTGATATGTTATCTGTAGTTATCTCTGGGTAGTGGATTGTAAGTGGTTTTATTTTCCTTTTTGCTTCTCAGTAATTTTGATTTTTCTTTTTCTTCTTTTCTTTAGGACAGGATTCCACTCCCATCACCCAGGCTGGAGTGCAGTGGTGTGATCTTGGCTCACTGCAACCCCCTCTGCTCCTACTCAAGCAATTCTCCTGCCTCAGTCTCCTAAGTGGCTGGGCTACAATCGCGTGCCACTAAGCCCTGCTAATTTTTCTATTTTTTGTAGGGACAGGGTTTTGCCATGTTGGCCAGGCTGGCCTTGAACTCCTGAGCTCATGTGATCTACCTACCTTAGCTTCCCAAAGTGCTGGGATTACAGGTATGAGCCACCGTGCCTGGCCTCTGATTTTTCTATAGTGAGAACATAACTATTTCTGTAATAATGTTGGAAATACATATCAATATCACAATTTTCAACAGCAGATTCAAGTAAAATGAATCCCTGTGTGTGTTTGTGTGTGTGTGTATATATATCTATATATGTATATCTATATACGTATGTATATATTATAATGCAGAAGGATAACATCTATAATAGCTGATATAATTACTATCTTGACTGTTTTTTTGTGGATGGAGAAAAATCAAAAGAGCCATTAGTATTTTTAATGGAGAAACTCTTAATCCAATCAATAAGGAAAGCATCTGTTATGGAAAGAATGAGATGTTTGAAACACTGCTCGGCATATGCTTTACACTTCTGAGGAAGAACTTTGAACAAAGGAGTAAACAACTGGAATGCTGAGAAAAATGAGGAGACAGCAGTGGCACATGACACCTGTGTTTTTTTTCTCCATGGTTCTTTTGGTATCTCTCCTTCCTTTCCCTGTCAGCTGAAGATCTTTATTAAATTCTTTTGATAGGGAGAACGCTGGAGTAGGAATGAGAACTGGGCTGTAGATGTACATCCCCAATTAACCACCTGTTTGGGGCTAATATTCTATCTTGTTAGGAGATGAACTTTACAATTTCAATTACCAAATCTGAAATGTTCTGTTTAGAAAATTTCTAGCTTTTTTTTTTTCTGGTTTGACATTCTATGATAACTCCAAGACAAATGTTCTTCTTCTGAATAATTAAAACTTAAAACAGTTTCCTGTGTAAACTTCCAAAGACAACAACAAAGATAACCTCTTTCTGCATTTGAGTCATAAACATTAAACTAATAAATTAGGTGTTTTTGGGAGAATCCATTTGCCTACAATAACCCCCGACACACCAAACACCAAGCCAGCAGATACATGGAAATGGGAACCTGCAATTTACCTACCTCCTTTTATTCTTAGAAAAATTTTTATGAATATAGTCAAGCCACATTATGACAATGAGAAAAAGTTGGAAAATTACTTTTTTTATTTAAGCTAAAATTCAGAATTAGGAAAAGAATATGCTAATACATGGTATATACCGTATTGCTTCTTGAGGTTAACACTGGCATTTAATTCTTAGCATCCCCAAATCAATTTGTTGGAGATTAGCACATAGTAGGCACTCAACAGATATTTGTATGTGTTCCTTGTTCAATACGAACATGTTCATCGATAAAAGAAACCATACTACTAATAATTTTATTTCATGATTTAGAAGCCCAAAATAGGCGCCTATTATTAATCTCTTCAATTTACTTTAGGTTCTAATTCGTAACAGTCCAAGTTTAGCAAGTCTAGTAGTTTTCATATAAATACCTCATACAGTTGCAAGCAGATGGCATCTATGAACCCAACTTGCATACTTGGGATTTTGTTTTTCTTTTCCCTGTTCATTAGATCCTGAAAATACAAATATAGACACAGACACACAGATTGCATTTATTTATTTTGTTAGATATTTTATTGTTATTTTTTGAGATGGGTGTCTCACTCTGTTGTCCAGGCTAGAGTGCAGTGGTGACATCTCGACTCATTGCAACCTCTGTCTCCTGGGTTTAAACTATTCTTCTGTCTTAGCCGCCAGAGGAGCTGGGATTACAAGTGTGCGGCACCATGCCTGGCTAATTTGAGTATTTTTAGCAGAGATGGTTTTCACCATGTTGGCCAGGCTGGTCTAACTCCTAATCTTAAGTGATCCGCTTGCCTTGGCCTCCAAGTGCTGGTATCACAGGTGTGAGCCACTGTATGCATTTACTTATTGAAAGAACACAATGAAAGCTTGCTCCAGAAAGGTGAAACAGTGGGTTAGCCTGGAAAGGTCAGATAGCAACTATATGAAAAAGAAGAAAAGAAAAGAGGAAAACTCTATGTTTAATTTAGAGGAAAAATTCCAAAGAACAGAAGTGGGTTGAGAAGAGTCTTTACTTGTATTTGTGATCCACACTCTATGATAAAAGGCAGTATGTTTGAAAGATCTTTAAATTCTGTTTGCCCCAACACAACAACTTTGGGAATTTACGCTAACAAGATAATGAAGAATAGAGGAGCAATTCCCTTGGTGTAATGTTTTCAGTGTTTGCTATTACAAGCAGCACTGTGATAAACATCTATGATAGATGAAATACTGCTCTGGAAACACTTCTGAGGAGAACTTTGAACAAAGAGTAGACAAGTAGAATGCTAAGAAAAATGGGGAGACAGTTGTGTGGGTGTGACATCTGGTCTTTTTTCCTCTGTGTTTCTTTTTGTATCTCTCCTACCTTTCCCTGTCAGCCACAGTTTCTTTATTAAATTCTTTTCATGGTGAGAACCAAGGAGTAGGAGTGAAACTTCTATGATGGACGTTTATCACAGTGCTGTTTGTAATAGTGAACATTGCAAACATTACACCAAGGGAAGTGGGTAAATTATGGCTACATATATTTCAGTAATCATGATAAAAAATGAAAAGTGGTTTGTAATACTTAAGTGGAAAAACAAATTACAAAAAACAGCGATACAATATGCTGACCCCAAAAGTATTTTTGTGCTCGTTTCTTGGATTTGCTTTCTGTAATGAACATTTATAATTCTTCCAATATGAAAAAAGTTTTAAAAAATAAAGTGAGAAACTGTGGTCCTAAGGAAAGATCCCATGGAACCATAAAAAGGAGTCTACAATTTTAAAATGCAGTTTAATTCCTACCAACAAAGTTTCATACTTACAGTGGGTTCTATGTTGAGTTCTTTTCTCTCTCTGTCTCCTTGATCAAAAAATTCAGTTGCTACAAGTTCTGCTATCTGAAATAATTAACAGACTCAGTTTTGACAATGAAAAGCATTTCATTCTTTAAAACAGAGACTGTGAATGAAGGCCCTGTTAGGAGGTATACATCTCCCTTTTATAGCAAATAAGCAGCAGCTTGATACCTGAAGACAAGTACTCCATGTCTAAAGCATGCTCTCTTAACTATTCCATTATACTCTTTTTTCACCTCTGTAAATTTCTCTTTCTTTTAGTAGCTTCCAACATTTTTCCTTTTATTTTATTTAAAAATATTTTCTTCCTTCATTTATTTTCACACCCTAAAACAATATGTACAAGGGTTTAATTCAGGAGAAAGAAAGGGTATATGAAGACACATTCTTTCCCCTTCTCTCCCCTGGTTAGAAATACGCATATAGTCTTATTTATTATGGGGCAGGAAGGTATGTAAAGATCACGTAAGTGCATATGGCATGTTGGCTTTGGCACGTGGAGAATGAGTTTTTGATCTTGTTTGCTCTGTATGTCTGTTTCATGAGATGAGCCTGTAGAAGATTTCTTAGGCTCCCTGACTATGCAGCCCAGAGCCTTGACCAACACCAGGCTGTCAACAATGCTAAATAGTACATTAAAGACTCAAAATGAAATCTTGAGAAACAAAAACACAAGATATATGTCACTGCATGGACATCCATCACTTTTCTGAGTCTATATTGCCTCTGCAAAACATTACAGCAGTTACTTACTTAGAGGGAAGGATTTTTTTCTAGCCTCCTGGTAACAGGCTCTGTTCAGATCCTTCTTGACATCTCCTGTCAATACTTCCTACATCTACAAGCCCAGAAATCGTTAAGTTCTACTTGTTAATGCCTATTTAGAGCTGAGGTATAGCCTAGAATGCTAATCATAAGAAAAGTAATTTTGCTTCTTCTCATTTCTAAGGTCATTAAAGGGATGTCCTTAAGAAACAAGTAAGTGAGAAGTATAAGTTAATACCCCAAATCCAAACATCGGAAATCTAAAATGCTGGTCCAATAAGTATTTCCTCTGAGTGTCATGTCAGCACTCAAAAAGCTTTGAATTTTGGAACATTCTGGATTTTTGAATTTGGTATATTCAGCCTAGCACACTGAAATGAAAACTTATCAACAGCAATGTTTTTGCTCCATTAATGTTGATGCTATCTTTCTTCATATATCTTAAAAATATCATGTGCAAATGTATCTTCTAAAAAAGAAAGCCTTTTCATGTTCAATTATCTGTTTTTAATACTATTTAAAAATTTAAAAAAATTTCCATTCTTCAGAAGCTAGCTTTAAGAGTAACACCTTTAAAAAATTACTTTAGATTTAGAGGGTATTTGTGCATATCTAGTGTAGGGGCATATTGTGTATTGGTGGGGACTGGGCTTCTAGTATACCCATTACTCAAATAATGAACATTATACTCAATGAGTAGTGTTTCACTCCTTGCTCTCTTCCCACCTTCTCCCCTTTTGGAGTCCCCAGTGCCTATTATTTCCATCTTTATGTCCAAGTGTACCCAACCGTTTGGCTCCTGCTTATAAGTAAGAATGTGCAGTGTTTGATTTTCTGTTTCTGAGTTAGTTCATTAAGGATAATGGCCTCCACCTTCAATCATGCTGCTTCAAAGGACATGATTTGATGCCTGCCTAAAAAGAATTTCGTGGTGCATATGTATGACATTTTCTTTATCTAGTCAACTGTTCTTGATGGACACTTAGGTTAGTTCCATGACTTTGCTATTATATAATAAATGATGCTATGACTAATGCATAAGTATCTTTTTTACATAGTGATGTATTTTTTGTAAAATAAATAGATAGATTTATTTTTTAGATAGATACCTAGTAGTGGGATTGCAGGGTAGAATGTTATTTTGACTTTTTAATTATTATTTTTATTGTCACTAAGCAACATACCCGTTGTTGAATAGGCCACGGTTTTGTAATTGCAGAAAGATCACAAGCTGTCATCAGCATTGCCCTGTTACAGAAAAAAAAGAAACCCACAACTCCTATTTACTTTTGTGTTATTATATGACCTCAGTAAATAGTTATGAATAAAAAAGTTAAAATCCTCTAAACAATGGAAATCGGAGTTTATAAAGACCAAAGAAAAACAAACAATTTATATAGAAGTCTACCTGATATAGTGATAACAGAGCATCACTGTTTTTGATTTCCCTTTGAACTTTTGGAATTTGTCCTCAAACTGCCTCATTTAGTTCCAGAACATGAAAAATTATTAACCTTTGGGTAAAAACTTGCCTGATTTTATTATTTTTGTCACTTTGGTATTCCATTCTCAGTGACAATATGATGAAAGTGCTTTGATGACTACTAATTAACCATTAAAATATAACATCAGTTATCACACTGATAAAGGTCTTAGATCAGAAATTATAGTAGGTTATCCTAATTCACTCAACATGTGGTAATTTCTACATGAAAAGCCTTTGAATGATTAATCATGTTTTTCAGTCTTTTCCTTTATTATTTCCACATGTTGAATTATAGTTAAGAAAGTTTTCTCACTCCTAGGTTATAGAAGAATCCACTTATATTTTTATTTAGTGCTTTTATGATTTAATTCTCTGCATTGAACTCTATGTTTCAGTTGGAATTTAAGTTTTTAGAGTAGATCCAATTTTGTCTTTTTCTTTTTTTTTCTTTTTTTTTTTGTGTGATACAGGACTTTTGTTTTATTGAACAAGAAAACTGGGTTTGAGATGTTTAGTGACGTTCCATAGTCTTACTCTATGTTCCCTCAGCTTCAGCTGCATTGTGCCAACGGCCTCCTAATCAGTATTTCTATCACAGACCTTGCTCCTGAGGCCTCATGGAATTCCCACAGGTGCTTCACATTTAGCATGTGCCAAATAACCCTCATTCATCTATATGCACATGCACATTTTCTCACATTTTAACATCTCTGAAATCAGGACATATCTTAAAATCTGTGGCATCGCAGTATGTCTTCATCCTCAGTGGCATATATTTTATTTTATTTTATTATTATTTTTTTTAATTTTGTCTTTTTCATTTGGTTATCCACTCATCTCTCTCTTTCTTCCAGTCAGGATATGTTATCTTTATTATATACTATATGTGTTATGCAATTCTAAATTTTCTATTGTGTTCCACTGATCTGGCACCAATATCAAACTGTTTTAGTCATAGAGACTTTATAGTATTGCTTCCATGTCTAGAGACCAGACCTCACTGCTGCATCTTTCCAGATTTTCTTTAAGAGAAGTAAACATTTTACAGCTACATCTTGCTTCTGCAATCTTTATATTTTCAGCACTTCCATTGCAATGAATTAGGAAAGTGAATAAGGGAATCCTATAACCATATATTGATACTCCACCACATTTTAAAGGTTTTTCTAGAATAAAGGAACAATTCATTCACTCGGATTTGTAAATGCAATTCTTTTCAAGTAAATTTCACATTTACTCTTTGTACAATCCACTGGAAAAGTCTGACAGCCTTTAAGATCATCATGTTGTAACAAATCATTGCAATAAAAACTAATAGAAAAAATAGAAAATTAACTGGGTAAAAGAACTTCAGCTTTAAAGATAGTAAACATACTTACAAAAACAAATCCTTTTGATGTGGATCTTCCAAATTGAATTGATTTTTTCTTATAAGTTCAAAAAATTCTCCTCGCCTCCTGCAACATTAAAAAAAAGGTAGTTATAATAACTACCTAGGCTCTCATCCCTTTGGTCTACAAAGACTCATGGAGTAAATTTTTGGTTAAAAAATGTGTAATTTTGGCCGGGCACGGTGGCTCAAGCCTGTAATCCCAGCACTTTGGGAGGCCGAGGCGGGTGGATCACGAGGTCAAGAGATCGAGACCATCCTGGTCAACACGGTGAAATCCCGTCTCTACTAAAAATACAAAAAATTAGCTGGGCGTGGTGGCGCGTGCCTGTAATCCCAGCTACTCAGGAGGCTGAGGCAGGAGAACTGCCTGAACCCAGGAGGCAGAGGTTGCGGTGAGCCAAGATCGCGTCATTGCACTCCAGCCTGGGTAACAAGAGCGAAACTCCGTCTCAAAAAAAAAAAAAAAGAAAATGTCGAATTTTTCCCCCCATCTTTGAACCCACTGTAAAATCAACATTTTCAAATCTTTAATATCTCACTTTCCACCTTTTATCATTTGCTTTGGGTAAAACATTAAACCTCATCTAATTTTTAACTATAGATCACAGATAATGGTAATTTCAATTCTTGAAAATTTGTTATTTTATGAAAAATGAAACTATGAGTTAAAAATTTGATGCTGAGAATGATTTCAGATATTTTAAGTGCATGGCAGAATAAGATCTATAGGTTTCAGTTTAACAATCATTTATCATGGTATAGGATAAAAAAATTATAAAGTTGTAAAGTGGTTCTGAAATAAACAAAGACTAGTTAAAGTTTAAAATAACATTTCTTATTATTCAGTAAATATAATATCTAGTATACAGTAAATTCCTCCTACATGCCCAGTATTATTAAGCATTTCAAGAAAGCATAAGAAAAAAGTTTTTCTTTTTACAGTGTTTAATATCTACCTGGAGACACAAGACTCAAGAAAAACTTATGTAATAAAACTGATTGTATATGATTACCAAAAATGAAAAGTATGTTTCATAAGGGTTCAAAGAAGAGACCCATATGGCCTGCAAAGGTTGGCTAGGCACTATTTTTCAAATTCTTAATTTGATAATCCTTATTCTGCAATTATTTTTAATAAATGGAAGTTTACTATTAATATGTATTCTTTTGTCTTAACCTCGAAGTGCTCTAAGAGCACATGCAGTTACTTCTAGATATATAGTAGTAGATATCTGGCATATGTTTTTGTGTTTGTTCTATTTGTTTTTACTTCTCCTAAGAGTGACTAGAACCATGAATGTGAATCCCTCACAGATGGAGAGAGACTCATGTTACAAGGAATCCTGAGTGTAATTCCCTGACTCCCCGCATTCCCACGCATGCATCAAAGCTCTCAGTCTAGGAGCTGAAAACTTATGATTGCCCAAATTCACAAAAGTATTTCCTAGATTTTAGAAAGGCAGCTTAATCATGAAAATGCATAATCACAGAGACCACTCTAATGTATGCTCTTGTTTTAGAATCACTAAGTTCAAAGTTCTATATTAATATTCTTCTGTCAAAATCAAATAAAAAGAAACAAGAGTTACTTGCTTGGCAGTAACCCCCTTTCTGCCCAGCTAAGATTAGATGATGGTATAAAGGAGTCATGAAATGGTCAGAAGTCGTCCCCATGAGGGGGAAAGGGAAAGGAGGAATAGCAAATGACCTATATAATCTTTAGACAACATGGCTTAGAATGACCTTGAGATGGCTATTAGATTTGTATATAGTTTCAGAGACACAGTGATAAACATTAGAAATAATAATGTATTCTGTAATTTTCAGCAATAAGTAGCCAAAGGAGTAGACTTTTTGGCTACCTTTAAGAAACTGCTCCATAGTCTGATAAGCAGCTTTGCCAGGACATTTGTGCTTTGAAATTTCTCAATATGGAGGTCAAAATTTGAAACAATGCAATGATCCAAGACTTCTTTCTCAGGATATTGTTTAAAACTTACTTAATATACAGTGCTAGGTCTGTAGCTAAAATAGCTTGCTTGATTATTTTCAACGTGGTCTTATATTCTTCAATGGAGAGGCCACTGAGAATCTGATTGCCCTTTATAAAAAAGAAAACCAAGTTAGCACTCCAGGGAGAAGCTGCTGACAAGAACAAAATCTGGAAATATATTCACATATCTTAAACACATGCCCAGTATTCTAAACTCATGATGTGGAGGGCACACTTAAATACCATGAAATAATGTTTCCCTTCGATGCTCCCATCCCACCCCTGTGTCATACAGATAAACAGCTTCATAGTGCTTTATCTGCCTACATATGTATGTTTTTCCAACTCATATACTCCTTAAGCCTTAGTCCAGACTTAAAATCTAATCGCTATCTTTTTCCATAGGGCAGACTAATTGTTAAAATCTAACAGCAAATAAAATTTTGAAAAAATCAAAGCATGTTAATAGATATGAATAATGGAGTGGTAAATTTTTTACACAATTGATTATGAAAAAAGTCACTTCTCTATGGAATTTAAAATAAATCCAGTAACATTTCTGGTACAAATTTATATAATTTTAACTTAGTTATGATAACAGTGCATATTCCTTAGGAACATCTTAATGTAGATGGGTAAAGGGCATGAACCGAAGGGCACTTACTGGTCAGTGGTAAAAGAAAGCATGGGTTGAAACTTCTATAAGGAATATTTAACAGGTAGCTAATCCATGTGCAAATCATTGGAAGTTTTTACTATGTAACCATTTTTTTATTTCTTGTCTGTAATTTAAAGTATAGTGGTCCTCTAATCTTGAACTAAGTAAAACACACAAACCAGACACTCAGAATATGATCAAAACAACATCTGTAAATTGAGTCAGATGTGCTTCCTGTATCTTACTGCCAAGAAAAAACCCTGATGCTTAGGAATGAGATCTGAAGGCAAAGGATTTGTTATGAAGACAGGGGAACTTCTGGATATGCTAGGCTAGGGCCAAAACACATTGGTTAGAGGATAACTAGATGCTGAAATTGTGGCATGGATCTAATTAATGACAATAATCTATAATTACAACCATAAACATTATTTTTAAAACTAAATTACTTTAGATTCTAGGCTAAACAGAAAATTATTCAGAAAATACCTTCTGATACTTATTTGAAGATAAAAAATTACAAGTGGAATATGAAATGTCTTTTAGTGCTATATTCTTACATTTTACTCCCAAAAGCTGATGATATAATGTCTGTGTCATTATGCTTACAAAGATAGAATATATAGATAAGTCTTAAAATTTGAGCCAGCCATATATACAATCAGATTCCTTACATGTTAAGTAATAACATAGTGTATAATAAGTTATATAGCAACAGAGGTCAGTTGATAGGAATACTGTTAAATATACTTTAAAAAAGCATATTTTCTTCCTCTGGAGCTATATTTGTAATGTGATATTGAAATGAAAGTTTCAGTGGGAACACATAGCAAATTCTAAGAAAAGTACAGATGTTTCTACTATAATATGACATAAACATTCCCAAGAAATTTCAGTTCTGAAAAAATTTCAGTTCTGAAAAACACTAAAAATAACAGGGATTATGTGAAAAAGGGATACTGGGAAAGACCACTCAAAACCTATGCAACTTTGTAACCAGAGCACAAACCAAACCAAGAATTGGTACCTCTGGAAGTAACTTGGACAGGCCAGTCTGGCAGGTCGGGAGGCTGCCTGTGAGGACATTAAAGATGGACAAAAACAATCAAGTGGAAATGCTGGTTTGTGGGGGCCCTACAACAATGCATATAGAATTGATCACTCAGACAGTACGGCTGCTATTAAGGTGGGCACTGAAGGAAGAGCAAGCTCCTGAGAGCCTACAAGAGTCTGAAGCAAGGGAGAGAGCCTCAGGTGCAAGTGCTCATTTTTAATATTCCTAAGATACAATGGAAAGGGCTGTATATGCAGGAGCCAAGGGGAGGCCTTTTTTTCTTTCTTCCTGAAGGTCAGAATTCAGCTTCTGTATTCTGGCACCTCTCATCTCAAAGAAGTTGTGTATGAAATAATAGAATATCTATAGTATACTGATACCATTCAAATACCTCCCTTCTACACATGAACTAATTCATATTAAACAATCACATGAGGGGCATGGAGTTCCTGTGTATGCCTCCTATCATTTGGGTGGAGGTGGGCCTAGAGTAGGCTTGTTTCTGATTCCTGCCTCAAAAGTCTAAAAGGCAAGACTCATATTGGTGCCAGTCTGTTAAGAATGTTTTGATGTTTCTTACTATCTCCCTTCCCATTCTCCAACTATGAAGGGGTAAGAAATTACATGGAGGTTGGGGAGAGAGGAGGATCTAGAAGAAACACAAGGCAGGGACTGGGAGAAGCCGACCAGTGCAGCAACAGAAAACCTGCAACTTTAAATCATGTTCAAAATTTGGACTGCTACCCAGGAGCAAACATTTTGGTTTCTGAGTTGAGAACTCTACCCTATATATTGGGACCTAAACTAACTAGAGGGCTTTTAATTTATAAATGAGTGACCAGAAAAGTGATGGCAATCTCTGAATTTTTTTCCAGGGCTCAGGAAAGAACTAGCCCCACTGAGTAAACTTAGAGATATTATGGTAAAACAGCTTTAAGAGTATATGTCATGCACTGTGTATGTTCAATGTAAAACTTTCATTTTTTCTTATTATGAAGGCAATACACATAACAGATAATGTCAACAATGAACACCCCCCCCAAATAAAGATTAATATTTTATTATACCAGCACAGCCATTCTTAATATCCTGGTGTATATTATTTTAACCTTGTTTTCCTTAATGTAAGCATGTTTGGCATTGCATAGCATATACTTTCTTATGTTGATAAATATTCACTTCACCAAGTTGTTAAATAGCTTTATTCTTTAATAGTTTCTTAGCAACTAGAAATTTGAACCAAAAGAGGAAAACGTATTGTTTTGTGAAAGCAAATGCTTGAGCTATAGAAACCACTTCACTTGATTAAACAAAAAAAGTAGAACTATCTGAGAGCCACAAAATACCCATTTTGTTTGTTTCTAACTTGGAATAGCCACACAGTAGAATAACCAAATTTCCCTTATCGGGCAACATATAAACAGTTCTAGTTGTCTACAGAAGTGAGGCTGTGAGGATCTCAAATGTTTTGGCATTGCCTTCCTTACCCAAAAAGGAATAAAGTATGTGCAAGAATTTATGATGCTGGGAATAAATCCAAAACCTAAAAATAAAACTGAATTTATAAAGCTCTCTTTTAAAATTCCACAACAATAAATTCAGTACTTACTGGACTATTGAGAATCATCAGGCACTGGTCAAAATGATGGTGCTCCATGATTGAATGGCAGTAGAGCTGAGCAAGTGGATGTTCACTTCTGAAAATATTTTGTTGAAAGAAAGAAAAAAAGATCAATTTCCTTAATATCCAGGTTTATCAGTACATTTTTATTACTGGCTAATGAAAAAAGAGGCTACCTCATAAAGTTAATCAATTAACAATTTTCTCTCCTTTTTTTGAGAAAAGGGTGAGGTAATCTCTGGGAAACAAATACAAGAGTTGAATTGTTTTCAGTTATCAATGTAACTGTTGCCAGTGCAAAGTACAAACAATTTCATTGGTTTTAATACTAATTAAAATAGAAGTAAGGAATAAGGACAAAAAATTAATACCTCTAAACATAGAAAAAAAACCCTTTGAAATAGTCGTACTAACAATATTTTTCAATTTCAAAACTGTAATTGATATAAAATCTGAAACAAATTCACGTTAGGTTTTTCTCTGAAGTAATGCTCAGGCTGAAGGTGAGCTTATTCATATGTGTCTGCAGATAAGAAAAGGACTTACTGAGATGGAATTAACTGAGGTATGAATGATGCAAGGCAAGGAAAAGAGGGATAGTCAGTCCACATGCCCCCTAGGAAGGAAGGAAGGAGACAGCTGAGTTGGCAAGTTCCCCATGTGGGATCCAGGTCATTTTAGTGCAGGATATCCTGCTAGTTCTCCTAACTGAACTTGGTGAAGAAGTAGAAACCCTTTGGCTGAGTGAAGAGAAAGGAAAGGATATTATACTTAGTTCATTATATCCGAGACAGTCACAAATAAAACTCTAAAGCATGACAAGCACAATTCTCCACCTCATGTTTCTCATGACCCTTCATATGTGATTATTAAGTATAGTTTTCACTATTTCTTCTTCATAAGAAAAAGATGAAGTTTCCGAAAGCCTCTGATCCTAAAATTTATAGGAAAGGGGTTTGTGAATTGTAAAGCTCCATACAAAAGTGCTGGATAAAACAATTATGTTATTTCTTCCTATTACTATCTGAATCATTATTTTACTTTGCATTTAATTTGTTGAAGATAGAGAAGCTACCAAAGACTGAAAAAATGTAATGTAGGGGGAAAAATAGGCAAAGTAAGAGAAGCCTGAGGGAAAATGAAAATAGTAAAGTGAAAATAAAGGTAAGAGGACAGGGAATCTCATCTATTACTGTTTAAAGTATCGTCTACACTGCTGATTGATCAATATTATTGTTCTAACCTTCCCCAAATTAATTCCTGCCCTTCTTGTCTTCTTTGCTCCTTCCATATTTAGTGAGTTGGACTGTGGACCAGGTACTATGCTGAAATAATGCTTGACATTGAATGGATGGCAGTGAACAGAGTAACACAAGTAGATTTCTGAAAAAGGATGAACGTAATGGAAACAGGATTGCTTGTGTATCGAGACTACTGGGAGTTAGGAGACTACTGGGAAACTTCTAGTAACCTAAGTAAGAGAGAGCCCAGATGAGAGTGGTAGCAACCCAAAGGAAGAGAAGCAGATATCTGAGAGCTGGTTAAGAGTACATCAGATAGGAACTGGTAACGAATCTGACTAGGAGTGGGATGAAAGAGATGAAGGGATGAGGGCAATAAAGGGAAAAAGTATAAATGTTAAAGTTTCTACCTTGGGATGCTGACCTCATTTACTGAGATAGGAAAAGGGAGAAGATGATTAAAGATGGGGGATGAAGCAGGGGAAGCTGACGAGCTGAATGTTGGATCTGTTCATTTTCAGGTGCCTGAAATAGACCCAAGTGGATATAAATGTCTGAACTCAGTTCTGGACTAGAGATACAGATTTGGGATGTACCAACATGCAGATGGTAATCCAGCATGTGAGTAGATGAGATCATCCAGGGAGATGGCCTATAATTACAGCCTATAACATGTCAGGTACAGTGCTATGTAGTTTATTATATTTAATTTTTACAATAACCCTGTGTGGGGCATTTCCACATCAAAACCTGCGTTACCACCTCTTACTCATCCACTGATGTAGTGTCCAGTGTCATGCACACTTTAACACACTTCATTCAGGTACCAATTAGAAGGTGTTTTGCCCGAGCCTACCTTTAATATTTCTCACTTCTGCCTTAGAGCTTTGTGACCCCACAGCTGGTGCCAGAGGAATTTTCTCGGCACTCACACTTGTTCAACCTGGAAGTGTGAAAGAGTGAAGGCCCGTGGACCACCTTCGACCAGTGGATACACAGACCTATGGACTGCTGTCTTTGTCTTGCCAGTCAACAGTTCTGGGTCTTATTTCAGAAGACTCTTCAAAAGCACCTGGCATGACTGAGCACCAGTATGGGTGGACATCTGGATAACTCATCCATCTACTGGCTTTCCTTTCTTCCCTGCTTCACTCCCAGTCCCAAATTCCTGCTCCCTGGGGTCATATTCACAAATAAGCTGTATGCACACTGACGTTCCTCTCAGGTTGTGCCTCCTGGGTAACTTAGGCTGAGACCTCTCTAAAATTGCCATCTTTTTGCTTTTTAGACAATCAAAGGTTTAGAGAAAAATAATGTGCTCAAGGTTGATATAAGTGGTAGAGCTGCCATTCAGGTATATCCTCTTCACTGCAGCACATGGTCTTAGGGATACCCAAGTACTTTAAAGGCACAGCATATGCACTCACTGACCTACTTAGGGGCTGGACTAGGAAATGCAATTAGGTGGATATAACACAAGCAAGTCAGAACTTCAAACACACATTACATTTTTAGATGATGCAGAAGGGACTCTTTCACATTATAGAAAATTCTTGGCTTTTGAGATAAACTAATGCAAACTATGTTTGCCTTTACTTACATTCTAAAAATACATATTTATGAATCAATAGCAGAGTGACAAATGCCCCGAATTTCCTGTATATAAAAACATTCATGGAAACCAATGTATTCTATATTTGTTATATTTTCCTCTTTCAAACACAAGGCTATGTGGCTTCTTTATTTAAAGTTGCATCAGAAGGACCCATTTAAACCACTACTGCTACAGAGTTTTGTTCTCACACTGCTGTCAGTGAGCACTAATGGACCAGCACACTCATTCTGCATTTTCCTCTGTTCTGCATAGTTGTTGGTCCATCTCTGACAGTAGCATTAGGATGCTCAATGGAGAAATCAGACCAGTATTTTAGAAAGAGAAAACCTTATAATTCTATAGAAAATAAAAACCTCATGTCCCATGGGAGTGGGGAACTATACTGCAACCCCAGTCTTCCTTTGTCACCAATGCTAACGATGTCCTTGGTTCTGCTTCTTAGTCATATATGTTACTCTGGGCTCAATTCTCTAACTACCTCTTTGTAACCTTGAATCCCATTTAGTTCTTTACTTCATCATTTCTCTTCATAACATCAGTATTGCCTTTTCTCCCAGTCAATGTGGTTTTTTTCTTTTTGCCTTCTTATTGTCTATAATTATATTCAGTGACATAGATATTCATAGTGATGATTCATTTCACCTTTTGACCTCAGAGTTCTCTGACCTCCTTGACACTACTGATTATCTCTTTGCACATAAGAATGACAGGGCTCCACTTCTTGGTTCCACAGCTACTAGGTTCTACTGGGCACAGTATCCTTGCCACTCCCTTTATTCACCACAGGCAAAGCAAGATCTTGAACTCCTATCTGTTGCTAAGAACATTCCTCTTTGAAAACTGCTAAAACATGTAGAGCATTTAATATGTGCCAGGAATGTTCTAAGCACTTTACATCTATTTTACCCCTTAATCCTTATGAAAAGCTCAGAAGATAAGTATTTTGATTATTACATTATACAAAGAAGCAGGGACACGGAGAAGTTTAATGACTTGCACAAGGTCACAAAGTAAGAGGAGAAGCCAAGATTTGAAGCCGGGCATCTGGCCCAAGTTGGCTCTTAACTACCACAACCATCATAGCTACTGCATGTTGATATAAGGACTAAATGAACAAATATATAAAAAGTGCTAACATCTTTCAAATGCTGTAAGGCCTATATAAGGTTTTAGCTTCTGTTACAGTATTTGCTACTGATATATGACTAATTGAACTTGCACTTTATTCATATTCAGATCTCCAGGCTCTCAAGATCTCCAACCTGACCAGAGATAATCTCATTCATGGATAAAATGGACTCTACCCAGTTTGAACTTCACACATGATTTTATGCTGTGTGTAGGGCCCTTTTATGTCTCTCAGATCCTGCTGACCGTCTATTCCCACTGTGCCAGACCATGACCCTCCAGCTCACTTCTGTCCTCTATTGGCAGAGAAGACAGTGATGGGATAGAAGAAGTTCTCCCAGAACAAATATACATAGTGTGATTGTGGCTACCAGGAGATTTTTTTTCCCCCTGATTTTATTGCATCTCTACCCCTGTAAAAAACACATTCATTTGATCATTTGACCATCCCTAACTACCATCTTATTTATTATCTTCTAGTTATTGCCAAAACTCCCCTAACCTCCGTCCCTGCCATCCCTGTCTCTCAATGTACACATATACAGATTCCGCAGCTCTTTCATTTTCATCAGTGGCACCATCACTGTTCCAATTTCTTATACCACAAGTCATATCTCCTTCCTTCAGGCTTATATATAACTAGTTGCTCATTATTACATTTTTTTCCTCCTTCAGTTTATTCCTCTCTCTAGCCAGTATATAATTTTTCAGCTTATTCCTGACTCGCTGTAACAGGTTTCTAGTAGAACTCTGTGGTTCTAATTTCTACCCACTTACCTTGTAGCTTACATTCAGACTTCTTTCCTAAAACTGTGTGTTTGTTACACACTGCAGTGGCTCCTTTTTTGTAGCCATATCAAATCCAAAATGCACTGCTTAGTTTTATAATCCTGCCTCAAAAAGCTTCTATTTGTTCATTCTCTTCTTTTTCATTCCTAATCAGTGTGAACCTTCTAACACTGGTCAAGCTAGCCATCATCACTGTTCCAAAAAACGGCTTATCTTGTGGTGCTCCTGGAATATCTTTATCCTTTCTCCCTTCTAAATCCTACCCACATTTTAAGACCAAGTTTAAGTCTCATTTCCTCCATTAACAGTGGAGATGTACAACTTCTGTTCTGACCAGTCTTCTCTGCTGAACACTTACAGTTCATGCACTAATTCAGGACTAAATACTTTCTTGTAGTGATCACTATTACTTCATGAGACTATGACCATTCCTTAATGGCAAGAATCACATTTTATACTTCTATCATTTTCTTTCTGCCTCACAAAGGGCAAAAGCCCTACTATAATAATTACCCATTATCCATCTCCCTAAAATGTAACATAATTTCACTGCATTATTTTATCAACACTAAACTTGAATCTAACCAAACACATGCATCTATAACAGTCTTCTTATATTGACTGAAGGCCTAATGCAGGTAATTTCTCTACATAACCCAAATGCTACAGTTGTGCATTCTCTGGTGGTTCTGTAATGCAGCCATTTTGTTCCTATTACTGCCTGTTTTTAAAATAACAATTCAGTATATATCTGAGATTATTTTTTCTTTATTCACCCAAGTGGGAGAGGTAAGCACGAGCAGTGAACTCTTCCCTCATATATTCCACTGGCATACCTATAGAACTCCTCTACAATGGCAGTTTCCTAATCAAAGAAGGAATCAAAGAATCAAATAATGACTCAAGGGGCAACTTCCTCTTCAAGAAATATCTTCTTTCAAGGTAATTTCAGGACAATTTTCTGAGAAGATACTCAAGAATGAATGAGGAAAATCTCAGTTTCTAACTTATCTACCACATGACTATTTTTTTTTCTCTTTTTGATGAATTACTTTAATCTCTGTGCATTGTTTTATTGTTTTGATTTTCTCTACATATTAGTTTGACTATGTGATGATGGCTGGACACAGTATACCTTTTTAGAAGATAGTACTTAAATGGGAATATTTATGGTAGTCATAGTCTCCTAAGTTCCTGGCTAAGAAAATTCTACTTTAAGTATCACTCATTTACCAGCAAGGAAAGAAAAAAAAAATCCCTGGAAAATTCTTGGTTTCCTCTACTCAAACCACAGGGATGTAGGAAGAACGAAAAATCTTTGAAACTGCTTTAACTTTTTTTTTTAAAAAACTTGAAGTCTGCTTTGTGGTGTGTGTGTGAAAACAAGATTCTGCAGTCGATGACTGTTCCCAGGATGTTTTCTTTCTTCCTTTCTTTTTTTTGGAGAAGATGACGTTTCTCCAGATGTTGGCAGGGTAATTATTTTTAAATAAACAAAGGAAAAAAATAGTTGAATGTTTTTTTTAACTCTAAAGCAGGGCAATAGCATCTTAGAGCAATCCATACACTAATAATCCACATACTAGTAGTATTATGTTCGGTGTAGCACATTCTGATCCTGATCTTTAGGTTGTGCTGACTGTGGAGGGACATGCTATGTGGCTTGACTCTGCACCTTACATCTTTTCATGTCTGTGTCCCCTTTCATAATTACCCTGTGTCTATGTGAAGCTCAGGATTGCAATCACATGGCAAAGCACAGGGGACAAAGAACATGTCACCCAGTCAGTTCTCCAAAATATGAGATTTTCAAGAGGAAACAGCCAGACTCTGATACTCAGGCAAGCGCTTGCTATCTTTTCCCATCGAAGGTCAGCAGAGGACATGGTTGTTACATCACTACAATTCTTTCTACATGAAGTTTTCCATTTATTTAGATAAGGAGAATGTGATTAGAGAGCTTTCTGAAATTCCCTCTAGATATCAGACATCTGGAATTTCCTTGAGAGATCTGTCCATTAGTTAAATCACTTGTGTACTTAAAAAATGCTCAGCAGTAAGAGATCTTGCACTTAACATGTAGACCTTTCAACTAAATTCCTATAAGAAAATAAAAATATCACAGTGGCTCAAACATTTGATGAAAAGTGATGTCACCTTTATCCTCTCATTTGTTATTTCAAATGCCACTTAAGTATGGCCCTTACAGGAGCCTGAAACTCTTATCTGAACAATTAGTATTACGTTCAGTGTATACATGCTGATTTTGATCTACTCACTCTCAAACTCAGCCAATGAGCAGACATCTGATGATGATATATCTCTAGCATCTGCTTCTAAGATTTAATAGGTACCAGGCATTCTGCTTGGTATTGATATGAATTATTTTTTACAACTTATATCAACCCTATGAGGTTAGTATGCAATTATCTCCATTTTATAGATCAGGAAATTAAGGTATAGAGAAATTAGACAGAGGCCCAGTTTTCCAACATTGTGCTATATGGCTTCTGCTGAGATCAAAAGCCTCCTTCTACTGAGCACTTAATAAGTACATAGGGCTGAGCTAATCACTTTCCAAATATTATCTTTTCTATTGCAGGGTAAAATGTTACCTTTTCTGGACTAGTCTTAATAGTTTTCTAAGGAAGCTGTTAACCTGGGTGTACATAAACTAAAGTAAAACTCCTGGTAATTATCTAATGCAACAAGATTCTCAACATAAATCTGTTTTGAACTTCAGGGCTGAAAACTTATGAACATAATACTAAACCTGCATTATTTTTTCCTTCTCCTTTAAATATAACCAGAGTATGTTATGGGACTTCGACCAATTGCAATTTTGTACCATCAAATTTGCTGTGGCTTTAACTTAAAAAAACACAGTCCTACAATTTGAAGAAAACATTTTCTTCCTTTACTGGGAAACAGTCTTACCGTTGTATGTAAGAGTTATTCACACCACGGTGATCCAAATCATGGCTTAGTGCAGCAATCAGCAATGCAAGTATCTCTAGGTCAGTCAGCTTGTTCTGCATGATCAAAGACATTGGAGGAAAGAGAGAACAGATATAATGCGGTGAAGAGCATTATATTACCTCTTTTCAGTAACCTCGTTTCCCCCCACTCAGTGCTTTACCTAAGAACTAGTCACAAAGGATTAACCCTAGAATCCTATTCTTCAGGAAATTGGTTATCCTTTGTCCTTCAGAATGGGATTACCACAAATCTCACTTATCAACAGGAAAAGCTAAATGTCTCAATAAATTAATAATCTGTCCACCTATAGTATCACTAATTCTTAATTATTTATTATGTGGAATAATCATAATAAACTTTAAACAATAGTTTTTTCTCTTTTAATTCCCTGCAGATTCTGTTCATTCTCTGCTATCAGTTGCTGTATACTTAAGGAATGCAGACAGTGTTAATTCAAGCAAAACAATAGAAAGAAAATGATTTGAAATGAAAACTTGGCTTTAAAAAGTTACCTAATATAGTCCCAAGATAAATACAGGTTATTTTTTAGTATCTGCCATGTGTATTATCATAATACTGTTTCCCTTCATTAGTAAAAAAAACACAAGTTAGTATTATCATCAGCTGTATTTTCCTAGAACTCTCAGAACTTTAAATAGGTTGTACAACAGCACAAAAATCATCATTTTGTTATTCCTCACAGGGAACAAGGATAGTTTTCAGTGTATCATGATAATCCTTATGACCTTTCCATACCCCAAAATAAGTTTCCCAATTTCTTACACTAGTAGAGTATCCCTAATCTGAAATCCAAAATGCTGCAAATCTGTACTTCCTTGAGCACCAATGAGTCTCAATGGAAATGCTCATTGGTATATTGGATTTTCAGATTAGGTATGTTCAACCAGTAAGCATAATGCAAATATTCCAAAGTTTGAAAAAAATCTGAAATCCAAAACACTTCTTAACCTGTTCTGGATAAGGGATACTCAACCTACACGTTTCCTAAAGCAGGAAAATACTATTGTATCAAATTTCATCTCACTTTTTTTTAAATATATTTTATTGCGTTTTAGGTTTTGGGGTACATGTGAAGAACACACAAGATTGTTGCATAGGTACATACATGGCAATATGTTTGCTGCCTTCCTTCCCATCACCTATATCTGGCTTTTCTCCCCATGTTATCCCTTCCCAACTCCCCCCTCCCTGCTGTCCCTCCCCTAGTTCCCTCCCACCCCAGTGTGTGATGCTCCCCTCCCTGTGTCCATGTGTTCTCATTGTTCAACACCTGCCTATGAGTGAGAACCTGACTTCTTGAACAACAATCACTTCTTTTAGATTTAACCAGTTAAATTGCGCACCCTATGAAGGTAGAGACAGAGAATAACATTTTTAGAATTTATTTACAAAAAAAAAGCAAGGAAGCTCCGAATTAAAAACAGTTGTATGATGGATGCCTGGAATCACTTACCTAGAATAACTAGTTGATTCCCACTGAAGTCAGAATCTAAGGACAGAGATAGGGATAAAATTTGGCCTAGAAAGGAACGGATTACTTGAACGTTTTCAGCACTGATCTTCCTTTTAAACAGTCTCTGGTCAATGCATAGGAAGCTAAAACCTTTTCTATGAAACTCATACAAAATTTTCTCTGAGTGCTCCAGAGAAAATGTGATAGAGATCCCTAACTTATCAATGAAGCAAGTTCAGGACTTGGGTAGTTTTTGAGAAATTCTACTCTGGAGCAGGTTGAATGTGAACAAGAGAAATGTGATACTTTTTCTTACTAATACAGTGTTTTCCTCTGAAGGAAATATTTATTCGCCCAAAGATTATTTACGTGCAACATGAGGTTATTTTAAAGGTTTTCTTATATGCTCTATTTAATATATATGAAAGAAAATTAGCAACTACGTATTTTTGTCATTCTCTTTAATTAACAAAAAATAACTTATTATGTAAATGGCAGCAAATATTATTGTGAGTCATCATCTGTGTACCTTAGAGCGAACTTGAGAGAATATGCTGTAAATTTCATTACTAAGAAATAAAATGTATTAGTTATATGAATGGCTCTAAAAAGTACCTGAATTTTGCCAGCTTTTAAAGCAGCAAACATGCACTGAGCTGTATTAAAGGCATGTCTCCAATTATGATAGGCAACATTCTTCCGATAATTCTTCTTAACACTTAAAATCCATCTGCAAAGAACCTTTAGAAAATAAAGCATAAGTAGTAACAATAATTGCCAACATATTCACACATTTACTATGTCCCAGGCACTGTGCAAAGCATTCACATTTAGCCTAATACTGCTATTTTGATGAACTTAGAGACAAGAAAACGGACACTCAGAGACGTAACATGCTGAAGGTCATAATGTTAGTTAGGGATAGGGTCAAAATTCAAACTTGAGCAGTTTGACTTCACAGCACACTACGTAACCACCCTGGTAATTAAATTAGATACAAAACGAAAGATATCTCTGAGAAAGGTATTTTGGGCAGTGTAGGGCATTGATTAGCTTTTTTTTTTTTTTTTTTTTTTTGAGACGGAGTTTCGCTCTTGTTACCCAGGCTGGAGTGCAATGGCGCGATCTCGGCTCACCGCAACCTCCGCCTCCTGGGTTCAGGCAATTCTCCTGCCTCAGCCCCCTGAGTAGCTGGGATTACAGGCACGTGCCACCATGCCCCGCTAATTTTTTGTATTTTTAGTAGAGACGGGTTTCACCATGTTGGCCAGGATGGTCTCGATCTGTTGACCTCGTGATCCACCCACTTCGGCCTCCCAAAGTGCTGGGATTACAGGCTTGAGCCACCGCGCCTGGCCAGCATTTTTTTTTTTTAAATAAAAAGTCCATGTGTCCATGTGCCATGTCCATGTGTCACCAATTAGGAGAGTCCAAAGGGTCACATAGGTATGAATTCACCATTAGAGAGCCATAAAAGCGGCCACTCTCAACTTCTTCCCATGCTCTCATGTTGTATATCTGTGAAGGTATTAGTGCAAGGCCCTGGGGGTGAACTAGTAACAAGGTACATAGCACATGTCCAGGGACAAATTGGAGCTATGAGACTTAATTCTCTCATTATTCAGGTAGTTACTGCTTGGTTACAAAGAAGCAATTTTTTAAAAATAATATATGTCAAATAAAGCCCTGGGGTTCAAATAAAAAACACTTTAAAAGATGGCCACGGGGAGGACAGACTTCAGCAAGTCTCAAGAGTTGGGTTTAATTCAACCTCTAACTGGTGTATTAAATAAAATCCCCAGGGACTCATGGGCCCTAAACATGGTTTGTGTTAGCATCAGAGTCTGCCTCTCTTCAAATCTGAGTGATTTACTATACTTTTGGGGATTTGTAAAATAAATACGTGCTTCTATATATATATCACTAGAGTTGCTTCAAACACAAAGAACATTGCCCTCGGAAATGGAAAAAGTACCAGGGAAAAGAATGTTGCTTTGACAGTATTCAACACAATATGATTAGCTACAGAAATAGGCCAAAAACAAAGTTTCTTCATTGTTGGTAGAAACTGCTTATAAAGGATTTGGTGGGAAATCAATGCTTCCCTTTCCTCCCTTTTCTTTTCAGGTCATTTTGTTCCTGTTCTTTGCTCAGTTTACAGGAAATTCTTATAACAAAGAACCCTAATGTCTCCTAACCGTTTTACCCACGAATTGCCATACTTCAAGTAGAAGATTTCTGTGTGTTTAAGATTGAATGTGGTCACCCCAAGCACACCGCAGCTTCTTTCACCATTATTTCATTTCTGAATAGAGTATGTCAGGAAGGTGATGAATTAATCTCACTTGGAGGCTTTTAAGTAAGATCTATAAACTCTCTTTGATATGTTTAGAAAATATGCTGCAGAGAATTACTGGTGATTAATTAAAGCAACAAGAAAAATAAACAGGAAAATCCAGAAATTTAATCTTTGGATATATCTTTTTTTTAATCATAAATGTACAGAACAATTAAATAGATAATACCATTTATTGTGAAACAGTGACCAAAATGACTCTATGTAACATAATTCCTAATGGACTACTCTATCTCCCTTTTATTGAGAGGGACCTAACAGAATTGGCTAACCCAAAGGACAAAGTAGTAACTAGATTCAAATCCCATTTTAGATTCTGTTACCAGGATGTTCTCAACAGCATACAAAAAAATTAAGGTCATATCTGGTAAGTTTTCAGTGGATATGCTGGACATCATTAAAATTTGTAACACAGCATTTTGTACAGAACTACTAAGTAGTTATTTGCAGTTTAGATGACTCTAGAGAGCCTGTTCAATATGTTGAATCAGTCTCCAACAATCATGGAAGGCTTCCTGAGTGGTGAACTCAAGATGTCACCGGAGAAAAAAAAGAAACAGAAAACAGCTCAGCTCCTGCTTCAAGAAATTCAATCAGTAGTGAAATAACAAAATTGCATATATAAAGGAAATAAATAAAAAAATATAAAATGTCTTTTTGATGAATGATTTTTCTTTAAAAGTCTCAGTTATAAATTAGGGGACTGTAAATGTAAAAATCCCTATTCCATACTTGTATTCAACACCAATTCTCTTACATACACACCCACACAGACTTTTCCAAAGGACATTGCTGCATTCCTACCTCATGTTTCATCTGGAAGTTCTGCACAAGGTTGAGGTCAGTAAACATCCGAATTGTACACAGTGCTGTTTCCAGATCAGACAGCTCAAAGTCACTGAAGCTAAAGTCAGTAATTTTAAGGGTCTGGGCAGATGGTACCACAGCAGCCTTAGGTAAGGAGAGAAGAAAAAAAAAATAATGCTGTTAATTAAAGCAGTAGTGATTCATAAATATTTTTGTTTTGCTGCAGCAAAATGGTATATTTTTTTAAATTAAAGACACTAGAAATCTTTTTGTACAGTGGGAACTCCACTACCTGCAGTTTTAAAACAGCCATATAATGGTAACTAATATAGTTCCAGGTAGGCTAAGCAGAGAAAAGAGGGTCGTCATCCTGAGACTGTACCTAGAACAGTGAGCAGCACTAAGAACTCTAGTGATCTGGTTCCTTTATACCTTCCCAGTCTTACTGGCTCAAAAGAAATGTAGTAAGTAGTTATTCTGGAACCATTCAGTGCTGTGGGCTAAAAATCAACTGGAAAGAAGGGTAATGATAATGTTCTAAACATTTTATAGTTGACTCTCAAGACAACCTTTTGAAGTGGATACTCCGGCTCTATTTTTCAACGTACAGGAACTTAAGCACAAAGAGGTGAATTTTCTTGCTGGTGGCAGCCCAGCTAGTTAAGGAATGAGGAGGGCAGGCTTACAATCCCAAATGGTTATTCTGAGCTCAGACTAGTAGAACTTGTCTCCCACCACACTTGCCTCACACAAGCCTGATCGTAAGAATCACCTGAGTGCCTATTAAAAAAACATTCATTTGGGCCAAGGAGCCCTGGCTCCCTCAAACTGAGCAGAGCACTCAGGACCATTTACCCTGTCAACACTTTGTTAACTGTTTTAGCTAGATCAGGCTGATTTAACTGGACCAAAGTAGGCCTTTACGTGTTTTGAAGTGGAGGAAAGAAAAATTAAGACTTTTCAGCCAGGTTCTCAAAAACCTTAGGTTTCCTATGAGTATCTGAGATACCACTACTTTGCTTTTGGGAAGTCAAAAGATCAAAATAATAAAATCTTACAGAGCAACCTAAAATAGATTTCCGCACAAATATGAAGGCACTTGCAGATTCTCCTTGTTATTCTGACTTTAGATTTCACTTACATACACCAGACTTGTTTAAACTTTCCATGAATGTCACCCTCTTCATTCACGCTAAGAATTTTTTCCCAAGACCAACACTGACCAGAAAATATGCCTTCTGTTAAGTCAGTTCCACAGGCTAGTGCGTGGGCTGAAATAGGGGAAGAGAGAAGGATTTAAAATGTTTAGATAAAGGGCTTAGTTGTTTATACCAGCCTCCAACATCAGAGATGGAGCAGTAACTCAAGTTTGGGAAGTGTAGAGGTGGGAACAAGCCTACCTTTTAACTCAAAGCAGATAACAGCTGCTTTCCTTAAAACATAGTGCACTGGACAGGAGAACAGATGTTTTTTCCTTAGGGCATCATTATTCTTACAGCAGGAAGTTTTCTTTCTTTCCTTCCACAAAGAACACTCTAAAAGCTACAGGATAGAAGCCAGCACAGCTTGTGCCTCTTTCCATTATCTACTGTAATACCTAATCTCTCTCTACTAAGAGAAAAGAATCTTTTTTTTTTTGCTTGTTTGGTCACAGCATACTACAACTCAAACATTCTGAGCTGACCCAGTAGGGACATGCAAACATTTTCCGTAAGAGCCTTGTGGTCAGTAATACACAGGTGCAGAACTCTGGGATCGATTACTAACAAGCCATGAGAAATCAGAAATTATTTCAAGCTCTTGTACTCTGCTTCTTTGATATCACAAGAGGATTCAACTTCCTGCTTAATTTAGAAAGGCGGGGCTAAAGATGATTTTAAGTAACATATAATTTTTAGTTATGTTTTAAGTAAAACATAATTACCTATAATTTTTACGTATCACGTCATAGGATAAAATATTATACATTTTACTAATAGCAGGGAAAAAAGTATGTGGTATTTCTGGCATAGGATGAATATATAGTTCCAGATTTTCACAGCTTCTCATTTTAATGATTTTATTCATTAAAATTTGCAGGCCGGGTGCGGTGGCTCACGCCTGTAATCCCAGCACTTTGGGAGGCCGAGGCGGGTGGATCACAAGGTCAAGAGTTCGAGACCATCCTGGTCAACATGGTGAAACCCCGTCTCTACTAAAAATACAAAAAAAATTAGCTGGGAATGGTGGCGTGTGCCTGTAATTGCAGCTACTCAGGAGGCTGAGGCAGGAGACTTGCCTGAACCCAGGAGGCGGAGGTTGCGGTGAGCCGAGATCGCGCCATTGTACTCCAGCCTGGGTAACAAGAGCGAAACTCCGTCTCAAAAAAAAAAAAAATTTGCAAAATGAGATTTCTGAGTTTGATTTTCTTCAGGGGATTTTATTATTGCATTATGGTTTTGAAGCCCAACAGAAAGAACATATTTTAAAGATTCTATAAAACAATAAGATACTAATATATAAATACACACACACACATATGTATTTTTATGGTTGAGTAACAAAACCAATGGAACTGTGATACCACGAAATACCACCCAATATTGCCTATTTATATGAGAGCACAATGTCTCAGAATTCTTAGACAAAACAGTTTAGATATTAAAGCTTAATTCCAATATGGTTAAGCTCTTATAGAACTGTGATTTTAATTTCAAATTAACCAAATATGGAACGTAAAAAAAAAAAAGACAAAGCTCATTGGGTTAAAGATTTCAATCTAATTAACAATTTGATGCTATATATTTTCTTCTGGGTTTTTCAACTGTATCTTCTACTGAAACTAATAAAGAACCTAGTTTGCCTCTAGTGACTCTTCAAACGAATTATATCATAAGCTACCTTTTTATGATCCTTTTCTAATACCATGGACCTCTTTCACCATTCTTGCAAAAATTAAAAATGAAAAAAAATTCAATTCTGGACATGATAAGCTAAGAGTAGAACCAAAGTTAATATTTGAGTGCAAGAATGTCTTGAGTTAAAGCAGTAGTCAGAATTATAAAATTAATTTTGCAGTGATCTTAAAACTAATTGTTCTTAACACCATCTGACTGATAAGGAGCTAAATAGTAAACTGATGTCCAGCTGACAAAACGTTAGATCACCTACCACATTTGCATTTCAGCATGAGATGATGAACACAAACAGAAACTTAAAAGCAAGGTGACACATGTGATAAAATGGAATGTTTGCTACTAGGGATGCTAGGCCAGATGTTCCACTGACTTTGTCACCTCTTTGCCTTTTTCGAACCTGTAAAATAAGGAGGTTGGAGTAGACTGTCTCTAAGGTTTAACATTCTCTGAGTTTTTAATACATTTATCTCTGTATCCACAGGACTCATGCACCTCTTACTGCCTCCTCCCTTTGGCACCAAACACCACACTGTGAGTGGCATCTAGATCTTGCCAGTGACTTTCCCAGTCTTAACTCAGTCTCTGATTTTCTTAGCCTCTGAGGTACATGGATGGGTGCACCTTGGCAGTTATGATTATGTGGTAATTTTCAAGCTCGATTCCATACACGTCACTTTGGTCCTGTTTCCTCACAGGTAGAAGGAGAGACATTCCACAGCTCCTGGCTTAAACAGAGGACCCTAGCCTCTACTGGCTTAAAGTAGTGGAGGGTTAGACTCAATATGTAGTAGCCTCTCTTCTTATTTCAATAATATTCTAAATTTTAAAAATGGACTTTTCTGAAATTGTCATCTTTTTTTTCAGGGATGGGGGAGGTATTTATATATTTGCCATCTGTTTTTCGGGTTAATTAACACACTCTCTCTCATACTTCCGAGCCTCTTTGTTTCTTCCCTGCCTATAATGCATATTCCCATAATGAATTATTTAAGTTTGTTTATGTCTTAGCTGCATCAGGGAAACATTCACTGGTTCTTGTGATAGCAAGGCTCCATTAACAACTGTTTCTAGTGAGTCTTCATCTTCTGAAGGGGCTAGTCAGCTGAAAAAAATACATTTCCTTGATTCCCTTGCAACTAGAGGTACAGATAGATTTGGTTTCAGCAATGAGGTAAACTTGAGTGAGACCTGAATTTCAAACTAAAGCAGTGACACATGGGAAACTCATTATTATTTCTGGGGGTTGTGACTCTAGAGGGCATACTACAGTCCCGTAGCTTGCAGTTCTGCTAGCAGCTTTCTGACTCTGGCCTACATACATGGAAGTTTCCATAGTGAGCCAGATCTGCAATCTTGTTCCATGACTTATTCCTGGGGTGACTTATCTACCCTTTTCAATGTTTTGAAAGTACTTAAATTCTTTTCTGCTTAAAATGGTTGTAGTAGTTCCTACTACCAGCAATTGAACCCTGTTGATGCTGTATTTTGCAACAAATGCATTTGTAGGCAACAGAGTCTCAAGGATAGGAACTGGAGTTTAGATACTTGACCTGATGCGTTTGAAGGCAGAAGGGGCTCGGTTTCCATTATAGCAGTGGCTCTCAAAGTTAAGTTCCTGGACTAGCAGCATCAGCATCTGGGAACTTGTTAAAAATGCAAATTCTTGGGCCCCAACACAGACCTCTGAATCAGAAACCCCGGGAGTGGGGCTCAGCAATCTGTGTTATAAAAAAACCTTCTAGGTGATTCTGATGAATGCTGACACTGTATTAGGGATAGGTTATTGGTAGTAAATGGATATTAATAGTAATTTCAAGTGAACACTTTAGAACAAAATGCCTTTTTGTGGACCCAGTGGTGACTGCCATATCACAGTGTGACGGGCAGAAACTGTAAGTGGGTTGGCTGCTTCTTGCTGTGTCAGAGAGATTAAAGAAAGAAAATGAAGGGCTCTGGGCTTTACATTTTTGGCTCAAATAATGGTCTGAAAACTAGGGAATTTTTATGGCTTTCCTAAAAGTCTACTTCTTGTAGCACTGATGTAGCCAAAACCCAAGTGCAGTCTTATCCTACAGGTTGGTGAATTACAGTATAGGTTGGAATCACAGACTTGCCACATCTCCTATGTGAGAGTGAAAGCACTGATTAGGAGAGAGTGGAACACCAAGAAATGGAATTGAGACATTTGAAAAGATCTGGATAATGACATGTATCTCAGACCATTCACCCTAGAATATGTTTCTATGT